TCAGCCCTCTAGTGGATCCCACCATCTCCTGTCACGGTCCTCCCATGCTAACCCACATTCACCCCTGCAACCCTGATCCAGGGCGAGACTCGCCACTTCCGTCACTGGACAGTACCAGAGGGGGAAGTGAGGACACTTTTAGAAGAACTTTCACCCCAAGGGTCAAAACGAGACCAAAAGAATGTTTTTCTGTAACTCAGAGACCAAAAGAATGTTTTTCTGTAACTCAGAGCCACTATGGAAGAATTCCTATCCACCCACACTCAGCCTTGGCAGGGGTTTGCAAGTTTGTTTTTTTAATGAAATATTTCAGGCGTTCAAAAGATACAGAAAGTAGGAGAATGAGCATGACTGCTCTGTGCTTAAATCAAGATGGATTTATTTTTCACAAACAGCAGACTGATTACAGCCTTGGGGCTCTGGAACCAGACAGCTTGGGTTCAAATCTGGGCTCTGTGACTTACTAACTGGACAACCTTGGGAAGTCACCCGACTTCTCCCAGCCTCAGTTTCCTGAGCTGTAAAATGGGGGTGATTATGGCACCTGATTCATGGGTTGTCCTGAAGATCAAACAAGATAATACCTATAAATCACTCAGCAAATACCACCTGGCACATGGGAAGTGTTCTGTAAATGGCAGTTTTTGCTGCCACTGTTCTTGGGGGTGTTTTTATGATTTTTAATTTGACAAGGTCTCAGACAGCTGCGGGGCCAGCTGGAGGCACAGTAGAGGTTGTGAAACCCAGCCTGAGAGCTAGTTCTCCTGTGCGCTCCCAGCACCACAACCTGTGGTAAGTGTGGAAATCCCTAACCTCATCCCCTGCATTTCTGACGCTCTGCAGAAATGTCTAGAAGCTTGTGATAAAAAGAAAGACTGAAGTCCAGGGTGGGTGCTGAGAAGGCACCTCCCAGCAGAGAGCTGGGAATTTCAGAGCCAAAGTCTTAGGAAGAGAAGGAACATGTGAGGAGCTGGGTGCCGATCCCGTCTCTCTCAGGCTGCGTTTTCAGAAGCAGAGCCCAGTCCTGAAACTGGGCTCCTCTCTGCTGTATTGCTGTGTGACCTTCAGGAATCACTTAACCTCTCTGAGCTTCTCCAGTAAAACAGAGCCGTTAAGACCCACCCAGCAGGGTTTATGTGAGGAATAAATGATATGGGAGCAAAAGCTGTAAAACCAGTTATGCCCATGAGAGGGTTGAGACCTCGTGCCCCCAGCTGGGTGGGTGCAGGGAGCATGAAGGGGAGGCCTCACTGCCCAGGCTCCTCACCTCAGGCCCAGAGAGAAGGTGGAGGAGGGGTTGGGTGACACAACCCCTCACGCCCTGCCAGCTGCTGGGAGAGGGACAGTGGCAGCTCCAGTGGGCACCAGGCCCAGCCCAAGCAGCCCAAATGTCAAGATGTCCCGGAAAAAGGAGGCAAAACTCATCTGCCCTCCCAGGCTCCTGACCTCCAGGCCTGTTCTAGTGTCCAACCTCACCCCCCGTGAATCAGGACTGCCCCCCAACTCATCTGGGGACCACCACCTCCTGCCGCCAGGCACTACTCAGGGTTTTCACAAGTCACCTGGAATCCGTACAGCAGCCCCATTTTACAGACCAGGAAACGGCTCAGAGATGGGAAGTAACTGGCCCAAGCTCTCAGAGCTCCCCAAGAGGCACAGCCAGGATTCCACTGCAGGTCTCCCAGTGGAAGCCAAAGGCCAACTTCTTTCCACTACACCAAGTAACTCACACGAAGATGCTGACGGCAACCAAGTGATTCACACGAAGATGCTGACGGCCACCAAGTAATTCACACGAAGATGCTGACGGGGACCAAGTAGCGACCAAGTAATTCACACGAAGATGCTGACGGGGACCAAGTAACTCACACGAAGATGCTGACTGCGACCAAGTAATTCACACGAAGATGCTGACCGCGATAACCATCCCCGTGGCGTTGCCTCTCCATCACCTTACTCTAGGCCTGAAATGCCCTTGGCTGTTCACTGGCACACTCCTACTCACCCCTCAAGACAGGCTCAAAGTCCCCGCCTCCTCAGTGCCTCCCCTGCTGCCCTGCAGAGTGTCACAGCTGCCCCCACGGCCACAGCCCTGTTTATCAGATGACTATAATTGTTGAGCGGAGCCCGTGGGAAGGAGTGATCCGTTTCCACGCCCAGCCCGCCAGCTAGACTAAGCAGCCAGCCTGGCACACACAATGTTCTCAGTAGGGGTTCGTGGCCTAGAGGGACACATCGCTTCCTCCTCAAGCCCCTCCCAGCCTGCGGCCCCTCCAGAGTGGGGAAGACCCCCCTGCAGGGCCCAAAGCCCCATTGCTGTTTGAGAAGGATCCTCTTCCCCAGCTCCCCTATGCAACTTAATGAGCTCCACAGACATCTGCCAGAACATCAGGCAAACTGAGAGGGTCACAAAGAAGCCCATAAGTTTAGAGTCAGAAATCAGAGCAGGCCCACCCATTTCCTCACATTCTGGAGCCTCGGTTTCACTTTGGATTTTCACTTCTCCAGTGGCAAGTTTTTAACAAGCCACAGATTTAAGGGTGCACTGTGGCTGGAGGAGGGAAGGCAAAGGCTCCCGGCCCACTCGTTCCAAGCAAATCTGGAACACGGAGAGCAGAGAAACGGTCAGTGCTGGCACTGACCAGGAGGCCTCCCAGGGAGGTCCAGGGAACAGCTTTAACCAGGAACACTGGTCAAGCCCTAAGAGCCAGGCAGTGGCACACCCAGTACCGGGAGGTGGAAGCCATATTCCCTGGGTGCAGACAAATAGACATGGGTTGTCCGCAGAGAATTTTAAAACAATACGACACAACAGAAGTCAGTCTGCTGTGTATTACCACCATCTGCCAACAATTTTAAATAATAGTGATAAAATACTACTCCCCCTAAAGCTATTGTATTGTTTTAAGTTCTCCTTGTGGCAATTACTGCAGAGATTTAATAATATATATGTGAGCCTCAAATTAGCACATTTTTATTTCTTATTCTTTAAAAAACTTTGTCTTCTCCATGGCAGTTCAATCAGAGAACACCCAGTCATGCAGTCAGCCGCTGACACACAGGCTCAGCTACACATGTCTGTTCCCACAGCGAGTTCCGAATGGCTCAGAATGGTTTGAACTTTCTGCACAGTTTGTGTCACCAACCCCTGTGGTTCTACATTTTCCTGTGTTTAAACAGAAGACAAAGAGCCTGCTCTCTCTAAACCATTCGTAGACCACCTGCTTCTGGGTTGGAATTTCGTAGATAGCAGAGCAGCTCCCTTGCTGCGATCTATTGCAAGTCAGCCTCAACACAAGGGTTTTTAATTTAAAAATTTTAAAAAGAGGGAAAAAAGAGTCTGCTCTCCCAGTGCCAGAAGAAACTAAAAAGAAGTGTTTGAAAGCCTGAATCATTTTCACCAAGAGCCAGACTCTCATTCTAAAGCAATGGTTTAAATAAATGTCAATGTTTACCATTGTTCAGCTGTTTTCTCTGACTTTTGCAGAAGAAGAAAATCTCGGGAGAATTTTGCCAAAGATAAAAATTTATGATGAATTTTCTGGTGAAGATGTTTTAGTGAAAATGTTTCAAATATGGAGATATTTAGAAGCCACTAGAATTGATTTAGAAAAAAAAAAAGACAGGCATTATTGCAATGTCTGGAATTTATTATGAAATGGGATTTTTACGAATCTCTGACAAACTTATCCTAATGTTTAAGGCTTTTCCTATTTGGATATCTGTTGGTTCATATGAAGAGAAGCTTTTGAAATTAAAATTAATAAAAAGGGTTCTTCAATCAACTGTTGAGCAAAGATGAATTGACAAATCTAGCTTCACTGAATATTGAACATGAACATGCAAAGAAGATCAGTTTTGACAAAGTCATGGTCAACTTTTCAGAAGTTAAAGTTCCAAAACAGAAACTGTAATGTTATTATCATTCATTACTGTGATCACCCTATATGTAAGAATAAGTTGTTTTCAAAAATACGTGAATGCAATTAAAAACCATTAATCCATTACTTTTTTCTATTTTTCTCTCTAACTTTATTGATTTTTCATTTTTTATTTTTTCACTGACATGACTTCATATACAAAGTTCAATAAAAGAAAATTTTCACTAGGTTTCTTTTCTGGACATTATTACTATTTATTTCATGATTATGACTGGAAATAATGTCAGATGAAAGAGAGAGAGATTTAAAAACGACAGCTCCAGGCATCAAATAAACCAGGTACACTCTGATGCCAGGTGCGGTGTGAAGCTCTTTACCAGGACTGAAATAATAATAATAATAGTGAATTACAGTTGAGCACTCAATAAGTGTGTGAAGCACTGTTCTGAGCACTTCGTAAGTATTCAGTCATATAATCTTCACTCCCCGGAACAGAGGGGTTTTGAAACTTGATCCAAGAGACGCAGCTAAGTGCTCAGCGGGAACACAATCCCCGGGGGTCTACCTCACAAGCCGGGCTCTGAACCTCTCTGCCGCCTGCCAAGGCCCTTTATGATTTCCGAACCACATCACAGGTTAGAAAACGAAAACGTGAGAGCTTGGAAATTGCTGGCAGGGCTGGTCATGAGGTGCGGTCAGCTCAGACCAGAAAAGGCCCCTGCGGTCAGACCCAGGCGAGGCCTGGGGTAGCAGCTCCTGCCCCACTCAGCCCCAGCGGCCAGTCCAGGCGTTCTGGCCGGACTCAGGACGGCAGCACAGGGCCTTTGTGGAGCAAGTCGTCCCTTCTGCCTCCCTCTCCATGTAGGTCCCGCAGGGCCTGCCTTCCCGGAGGCCGGTTTCAGCAAGGCGGCCTCCACACCTGCCCTCGCAAGTTCAGGCACCGAGACGACTCCAACAGGTGCCCGCTGACCCACACCCACTCCTGCTGCCCAGCGGCTGCGGAGGTGTGGCCCCACCTCCTCAAGCATCGTCTCCCTGAAGTGACAACTCAGGCCCGGGACAGCGAGTCCCCACTAAAACACGACCCCCAGCCCCAGCCCACGCCCGCCCCACACTTACGATGGGCGCGCGCATCTTCTTTCGTGACGTGGACCCTCAGTTTCAGGCTGGAGTTCGCTTTCTCAGCAGTGTAAGTGCCTGAGGCAGGGAGAGCAGGAGATTCTCTACGTCGTAAACAGGAAACAGCGTCCCCGAGACCCCAGGGGACGGGGGTTTCTGGTGGGGAGACCGTGCGCTGTGCGTCTCCCACCGGATTCAGGCACAACCGCCTACTCCCTCGGAGTTCCCCGCCCGCCGCCTCCCTGCCCTGCACTTGGCCCAGAACGGACGCATCCCCTGAAGGGGGCAGGGAGGGTCACCCGATACTGAGAGGCTTGGCGGCCCAGCTGCAGGGAGCGCGATCGGTGTCGCCTGCCCAGGGCGCCGCGCCCCAAAAAGTCGGCCAGGGCGCCGCGCCCGGCCCTCCCTCCCCGGTCCGCGGTGCCAGGAGGCGGCAGCTGCTTGCAGGCTGCTCCCCAACTTGTTTACTCCCGCCTCACCCAACTTCTCCCTCTCCCACACAGCCCTTGGGACCCGGAGAGCCGCCCCAAGCATCCCACCCTTTCTTAAGTCCCAGGAAGAACATGTCCACCCACCTCTCGGACTTGGAGGCAGCGCGGCCGCCACTGCAAAGAGAACGAGTTTAATGGCCGCAGAGGCCAGACCGGCGTGAGGTCACCCCGCCCCTCCCTGTGTGACTGGCTAATGAGAACGACGCAGAGCTTCCTGCCCCTGGCACAGGGACAGCGGGCTCCGGCCTCTGGGCTGGACAAGCCAGGATGCCTCCCTCTCACCCAGACCGCCTCTCCCCACGTCCTCCTCTGCCCCCCTCTCCCCGACACACTGGATCCAGCTCCAGGGCCACCTCCTCACCTCTTCTACACGCACTCTGCGGGCCCCCCAATATTTAAGAACGTGTAGTACTATACTGTTCTGTGTACACACATCACACTGGAGTGCAATCAATTTACTTACCTCCTCCACTCGAGTGGGCTTATAGTTCAAAACTATAATAAATTTTAAAGCCATTTGAAGGCAAGGGTCTAGCAGAGAGTATTTTTACCTATTGGGTCTTAAGCCATCAGATATCCTTCAAACCTCGCATACAGTAGGCATTCCATGAATGAAGGAATGAGCAAACACAGGGCCTTCCTCTGCACTGGCTGTGGCTCCACAAGAGGAGAACCAGCTCCGGTTCATCTCTATATTCCCGCCACTCCCAGCCAGCACTGAGCCTTGGGATCAGGATGCTTGGGCCAAATCCTGGCCCTGTCACTTGCCAGCTATGGGGTCCAGGGCATCCTTCCCTCTCTGAGCCTCAGTCTGTTCATCCGTAAAATGGAGTGATGATGATCTTGTACAATGTATAAGATAATATATAAAAATACATTCCTCAAAGGGAGAGCAACAAATGAAACGATGCTTATAAAAATGCTGAGCTTGATGTCGGCACATGGTAAATCCTCAGGACACATTGGCTATTATTTACACGAGGAAAGGTACACGATCGTCAACATCACACATTATTCACCAGCTTCCCGACAAGGAGAGTCAGAGGCAATTTAGATAAATACCAGAACGCTCTGTGCATTACCACTCACCCAAGAAATTGTCATATGTATTGAGCAAGCAACTCTCTGTAAAGTGGTCCAAATCCAGGATGGAGAGGTTGGGTTTTGAGGAAACCAGACTGACTTCTGCTTCTCCTTACTCTCTGCTTCCAGAATGGCCCAGATGTCACTTACTTTACTTGTTTTTCCTATTGCTGTGCCAGGAAAAACAAAAAACATCCTGAGGGGCGGGGATATCAAGAAAGAGATTTTTACCTTTCACACAGCTCTCAAAAGAGGAGCTCTGTACGAAAGGCCCCAGGACTGAGAAGCTGCCAGCAGATGATGCCGGCACCATCGTCAGCAAGATCATCCCTAAGCCCCATTCCAAGTCCATCACACGGGACAGGGGGACAGCCCTGCCAGGATCAAACCAATACCTGCCTCCAAAGCCTCTGGTCTTTTCTGCAATCACAGTCACGGAGCCCCGTTCTTCTTCTTCTTGTGATAGGGGAGAAACATTTATTTTTAATTATTTTAAGTCTTCCATTCTCTGCCTTCTGAGGAGGATGAATTCTCCTCCAGGAGAATCCACTCTTTTGCTGTCTCTGAGGAAGGGGTAACTGAGAAGGTGCGAGGAAATGGCACAAGGCTAAACGCTGTGAAGTGGGAGACCCTGTGGGGGTTCTGAGCGGGTGGGGTGGGAGGAGAAGGCCAGGGCAGGAGGAGAGGGGAGAGGGGAGGAGAGAGAGGACAGGCAAACCGCATTTAAGGAGCAGAATTCGTAGCAGCATTCCGTGATAACATGAGGGTTTCTGTTGCTTAACAGCAACTCTAAAAACAGGAGGAGTAGGGGCCAGCCTGGTGGTGTAGTGGTTAAGTTCACATGCTCCACTTCAGTGGCCACTGGTTCACAGGTTCGGGTCCTGGGCATGGACCTATGCACTGCTTATCAAACCATGCTGTGGCAGGCATCCCACATATATTTATTTTTCATTTATTTTTTTAATTTATTTATTTTTTGTGAGGACGATTAGCCCTGAGCTAACATCCAATGCCAACCTCCTCTTTTTGCTGAGGAAGATTGGCCCTGGGCTAACATCTGTGCCCATCTTCCTCTATTTTATATGGGACGCTGCCACAGCATGGCTTGACGAGCGGTGCATTGGTGCGTGCCCAGGATTTGAACCTGCAAATCCCAGGCCACCGAAGCAGAGCACGTGCACTTAACCGCTTCAACACTGGGCCGGCCCAGGCATCCCACGTATAAAGTAGAGGAAGATGGGCACAGATGTTGGCCCAGGGCCAATCTTCCTCAGCAAGAAGAGGAGGGTTGGCATCAGATGTTAGCTCAGGGCTAATCTTTCTCACCAAAAAAAAAAAAAGCAAAAGACAGGAGTAGTCCTCAGGAGAAAGGTCCTGAGGCTCCATTAGCCAAGTGAATACAGGCCTTTTACATGTGTCCCAGCTACTCTGGTGAGGCTTTGTAATTGCGCCAATTTTGACAGTTTGCTCTGACCAGAAAAATCAGGCTTTTATGAAAGAAAAGGAAGGTGAAGTACAACTTCTTCCTGAATCCCCTATCTCTGAAACTCCTCAAGTCCTACAGAAGCTGAGAACAAATCCCTGTTGCGAGGCCCTGAAAAGTTCCTGATACTGGCCCTGATATGGGTCCACTACATTAAACCCAGCATATATGGGATTAAAATCAAAAGCACTCACTCCCTTTGCTTGCTTCTCTAAGTTATAGTCCTATGTAAATATTGGTTTTTTTAAACCTTTCTATCCCTGAACTTCCCAAGGCAAATAGAAGTTATAGATTGTTAGAGCCCAGGTGGCCTCATGCTAACATCTTGGCTAGTTACGGGTCCTTTGAAGTTTTATTACAGGGAAACTGATATCCAGAGAATATCAGGAAGCTGAAGCTTCCCAGACCCCAACTCCTCAGCTTACTGGTGCCAGAATCCACCCTCCACCACAGAGGCAGGCAACCAAAGACACCCACCTGTGATTCTCTTATCTCACCACCCCCTCCCTGCAAGCAGCCTCATAAGGCCAAACACAGGCTGGTGGGAAAGGCGCCAACCAGCAAGGCCACAGGCTCCCCCTCCCTACAAGCAGCCACATTCCTCACAACCTTTGAAACCCCTTTCCTCCCATCTTTCAGGGAGATGAGATAAATTTGAGAGCTGACTCTCATCTCCTGGCTGATGTCACCTGAAATAAAAACCCTTTGCTTGCCATAAGCCTGGTGTTCCAATTTTTATTTGGCCCCTCTTGTGTGGCAGGTAAAGAACCTGTGTTTGTGTCCAGTAACAATTTGGCAAGCCAGCCAGGGGGCTCTTGGCCCGTGGCTCCATGGCCCTGGCCAACTGGGATTTCCTGGAAAGCAGTCTATCAGCTGCCTAGGTGATTTGCCCTAGGGACTGTCCCCAGTACTTTCCTTCTGACCCAGAACTGCTGGCCCTACACACATTTTCTTGTAGCAAAGAAACAGGCTCTAGATTTGTTTGTGTTTGCTTCTGGTGAGTCCACAGACTCAATCTGGAATAGGGTAAGTTGCCTCAGGGATGCCTGTGAGCTCTTTTCCCCTCCATCTGGGGTCTTTCCATTTAAGGCAGGGCCATCTGGGGCCACTTCCATTTGTGGAGAGGCTATCTGGGCACACATTTGGAGTGGGAACAGTTGTACCCTAAATCTGGGAGCTGGTTCACTGGTGTCTGGTTTTTCTGTGTCTGGATCTGTATGTCTGTCCATCTCTGTGTAACAGAATGGGGAACATGCTGTCTGTCCCCAAGCGGAGCCCATTGGGGCTGATTCTGAGTAGATGGTCTGATCATAGTTATGAGCCAATGTCTAAAAAGGGATGATTTTCTTTTGTAACACCACATGGCCACAATATTCTTTAACCTCCAGAGAGTAAATGGCCAAACAATGGATCCTTAAGTTGGAAAAATTTTTAGAGAGCTCTCATCATAAACAACTGTTTTATTGGTGCCTATGAAAAGACCAAATTAAAAGGAAAATACAATGGGGGCCAGCCCAATGGCATACTGGTTAAGTTCACCCACTTTGCTTCAGCAGCCCAGGGTTTGCAGGTTCAGATCCCAGGCACGGACCTATGCACCGCTCATCAAACCATGCTGTGGCAGTGTCCCACATACAAAATAGAGGAGGATGGGCACAGATGTTAGCTCAGGGCCAATGTTCCTCAGCAAAAAGGGGACGACTGGCAATAGACATTAGCTCAGAGCCAATCTTCCTCATCAGAAAAAAAAGAAAGGAAAATACAATGACTAGTCTTAAGAACTTAATCAAACTTAGGGTCTCAGCTTCTTCTCATGGTCTTACAGATGCTGATGAAAACAATAAGTTAACAAAAGAATAAAAGGAAGCTGAGGAAAAATAAAGGGACTCTTTTCAACAAGGTGGAAATTTTTAAAGGAGTTTTTAAAAATAAGAAGAAGAAGAAGAAGGTAAATAAGACAGTGGATTAGATAAGACAAATATTAAAGGAAAATAAAATAAAGAGAAATCAAAAAAGGAAGAGTCACAGGACTCATCCCAGCAGAATGGAAATCTTTAACTAGTTATTAAAAAGGAAAATTGGATGAATAGAGCAGACATGAATAAAGTTAAAACAAAGGTTTGTTTTTTTTTTTAAAGATTTTATTTATTTATTTTCTTTCCCCCCAAAGCCCCAGTAGATAGTTGTGTGTCATAGCTGCACATCCTTCTAGTTGCCGTATGTGGCACGCGCCCTCAGCATGGCCGGAGAAGCAGTGCGTCGGTGCGCGCCCAGGATCAGAACCCGGGCCGCCAGCAGCTGCGCGCACGCACTTAACCGCTAAGCCACGGGGCTGGCCCCACTTAAAACAAAGGTTTTAATAAAACACTGCCTAAGATTGGATGGGCTAAAGGGACCCCCGATTGGCCCCCCAACATTAAAGGACATCAGACAGGCCTGTTCTATTCACCCCAGTTTGAAAAAAAAAATTAAAAAGCCAGAAGGCAGAGATCACAATGAGAAACCTGAACAACAATTGTTTGGGGCAACAGGTAGGCTGCTAAGGTCGATAAGACTATAAAGATTAAAGTGTTCAAGCTAATATTACATAAAGAGATTATGTCAACTTT